TATTCAGGACTGATTTCCTTTAGGATGGACTGGTTGGATCTCCTTGAAGTCCAAGGGACTCTTAAGTCTTCTCCAACACCACAGTTCAATAGCATCAATTGGTTTTTAATTTCCTGCTGCTGTAATTAATTCAAGCTACTCAAGATGAACCTTTGCACAAGTCTATTGCCTTAGGCAAGTTGTCAGACCTGGAGTTTAAGGGTACCACATACACCCTAAACATATAACAACATAGTCTTGGATCTCTGTCCCTCTGCCCTGGAAGCCATTCCCCTCGTTCACCTGACACATCCCTGACACAGTGAGGGGCTTACACCTCTGGGGCCCTGAGATCTGCTGCCCCCTAGAGGAGGCTCACGGACAGGGCTAGTATCTCCTCTTCAAAGATGCCAAGGATTCGAAGAACTGACTCATTGGAAAAGACCTTGATGCTGAGAAAGATTGAAGGCGGGAGGAGAAGGGGATGACAGAGGATGAGATGGTTGGATGGGCTCATCGACGCAATGGACATGAGTTTGAGCAAGCTCTGGGCGTTGGTGATGGACAGGGAAGCCTGGCATGCTGCAGTCCATGGGGTCACAAAGAGTTGGACACGACTGAGCGACTGAACTGAATTGAAAACAAGTGGGCCCCTTTTCTTCAAAGAAACAGAATTAAATAACATTGCTGGCTTCAGAATCTTAATTTTCCTTACACTTAGGGCAATTGAGATACCAAATCTTCACTGTAGGCTTTCTGTTCTCCGTTTTTTGTTCTTTTTCAGGGGTGGGAGCTGGGGGAGTAAAACTATACTAACCCTTTGAGATTTTCTCTCACAAAGGTAACAAAGGCAGACAGGGCGGGTTATCTTGACTAGAGCAGGTGACCTGGGTTGGAAACCTGCTCACCAGGGCCTCTGGACACACACAGCGTAGATGCTTCCGGGTTTGTGCTCGCCCATCAGTTCTGAGCATGGTGCCCTGTACGCAGTAAGCACTCAGCAAATGTCCCACAAAAGAAGGCATCTAAAGCACCTTCCCTGCCCTAAAATTCTGGTTCTAGACATTTTATAGGAAAAGAATGCCAGGTGATTAGGATTTGGACTGAGAAAGTCCTTTCTATGCCTCCCAAGATTCAGAACCCAGTGTGGGTGGGCAGGGTGTGAGAACTAACTGTAGTCTGGAGGTGGCTGAGGCCAGAGGTTTGATGTGAATGTTGAGAGCAACTGTGGATCCTGCTAAGCCAGCAGGGTCAGAGCGATGGGAAACAAAGGAATGATTCCCTCTGCAGCTGTTGTTTTCCGGAACGATTTCTTTCACCGCCTTCCTGCATTTTGGGAGAGAGGGGAGGTCCTCTGTGTGTGACCTGGGACTGGTGTTATCAGGTCCCTTCAGAAGGAAAGACTTTGGATGAAGAAGCCCAAGGAACGAATGTTGCCAACTTTCCATTAGAAGTGGTTTTTATAGACTTTAATGACCTGCTGGGCCCGACAAAGGCCAGGTCTGTGCCCGACAAAGGCCAGGTCTGTGCCAAAGTGCAGGCTGAAGTTGTGGCTCTAATATTCATCTGGATGTGAATAAATCTAAGTTTGCTTGCGTGACTTTTAATCGCCTATAGCATATTAATTTTCGTCTGTGTTATTAACTAATGAACATTATCCATGTGCCAGGTGGATCACTGTGTACTCTGGATACCTCACCGTCTTTACTATATCAACTACAATCCTCTGAAGTAGACCTTATTCGGTTCTGCCTCACAGATGTGGAAACAGAGACATAGAGTTGCTCGCCAACAACCACAGGGTTGGCAGATCTGAGGTGCCAACCCAGCCTCTTTTGACTCCAAAGCTCACTTTATTTAGCCTACTAACTTATATTGCTTTGCCAATGACATTGATCATTTTTCTGCCTCATTTTCCAAGTCTCACATTATGAGTCCTCTGGGAGCAAGTGTCTTACTTATCTTTTCTTAGCCTGAAATGCTTAAACACAGCAGGGAAATCATCTTTGCCTCTGGTTTCAAAAAGCAACCTGGTATCATGTTCTGAGAATCAAAGACTTTGTGGGGTTTTTTTCTTTTCAACCTTTTTATCTTGAAAAATAATTTAAGACTTACAGGAAAGATTCAAGAATAATGCAATGAAGATCCATAGATCCTCCACCTAAATACACCAATTGTTAATATTGTGAATGTTTTTTCCTGACCATTTGAAAGTTTGTTGCAGACACATGCTATGTCTCTTATGAATTACTATCTGAATATGAATAGATATATGAATTATATATCTCCTAAAAAACAGGCCATTTATCCATGCATGTGTGTTAGCATGTGAGCTCAGTCACATCCGACTCTTTGCAACCCATGGACTGTCACTCATCAAGATCCTCTGTCGATGGGGGTTCTCCAGGCAAGTGGGTCGCTGTGCCCTCCTCCAGGGGATCTTCCTTACCCAGGGATTGAACCTGCATCTCTTTATCTTCTGCATTGCACAAGGATTCTTTACCACGGAGCCACCAGGGAAGTCCCCATTTCTGCATAATCAAGGTATAATTATTACCCTCAGGAAATTTAACATTGCTGCAATACTAATACAATCGACATTCAAATTTTCTCAATTGTCCCAATAATGACCCTCAATAGCTGCTTTTTGTTTTTTGATCCAGGGTGCAATTTAGGATTGCATGGCTCTCAGGGTCATATCTTTCTTTTGTCTCCTTTAATCTGGAACACTTGACTAGTCTTCTTAACAGTTCATGAAGTTCACGTTTTTAGAAGAGACCAGGTGGTTGTTTTGCAGAACTGTCCCTCAACTGGATTTGCCCGTTTCCTCTGAAACGGAGAGAAAGAACTTCTTGGGTGAGTCATTCTCACACTAGACATCAGCCTGTACCATCCCTGGCGCTGCGCAGTTCCATCCCTTGGTTTAGGAGATGCGTCTGATGTGAAGGTACCCTTTTCTCTTCACTAAGTCATCTATGGGATGATACTTTGGAACTGGACGAATATCCTCAAGCGTCCAGCATCTATTGATGAATTCTGCCTGACGCAGTTCTTGGTGGCTTCAAAGCGGGGGTTTTCTGTTTCAGTAATTTCTTGTACATTTATGAGTTGGAAATCTTCTCTAAAGTTGAGCTGTCCCTCATCCACCTCCTCTCTTCCTTTGAATTACTCCTCCGGTGTCATCTTTTAAGTCACGCCACTTACCCCCTGGGGACCTATGTTCCTCATCGTTAAGATGAGGTGACCTAAAGGCCACATTCTTGAATTTCAGTCACTCTGAGATGGAATCCCCTCACAAGTCTGTCAGGCATCCGCCTGAGAAGGACGCGGCGGGGGCGACCCCTCCACGGGCAAGGGTCGCTAGTGGGCTCCGCGCCTTCTCGCGAGAGCCGGCCCCTCGGGGGATAAAGGCGCGGGCGCCGCGCCTGCGCGCTCACGTCCACCCCGCCCGCCCCCGCGCGCCGGCCCCCGCGGCACGCGCGCGCACTCGGACAGTTGAAGGTGTTGGGCCTCCTCGGGCCCGCGGCGCGCGCCCCCGGAGCGACTCTCCGGCGCAGCCGCGGCGCGGGGCTCGGGGCTCNCAGAGCCGCGGCAATGTGTTGGAACGTGACGTGTCTGGGGCTTCTCGAGTTTTTGCTTGCTCATACCAGCAGTGCATTTCCCGTCGGGATCGTGGGCCTGGAAAAGAAAGCTTGAACTGGGCACATTTGAGGTCAGACGACCCCTCCCCCCCACGCGACTTTGCAGTGTCTAGCAAGTGCTTTTGTAAAAGAAGCAAAATGCTAAAAGTCTGTAATGGGTCCCTGGATGGAGGTTTCTAAATACTGAAGTGTATCTTTCGTTTTTGTTTTTTGTTTTTTTTAAAGCAAACTGTAAAACCTTAACGTTTCTAATATTTGAGTACATAGTGCCTGGTTTCTATACTTAACCTCTCAAATTATGGGCTTCAGGCAGAATTTCAACAGGTACCACAGTCGTTTGTGATCATAAAGAGTAATATCAGATTGCAGTTGGCAACGTTTAAAAAGTCTCAAATTGGTGGTTGGGACACAGAGGACTTGTGTTGTAGATTAATTGCTCTGGAAAAGAACTTTGAAACCTTGTGGCCCAGAACAAAGTTTTATTATGGTATGACTCAATACACTTATCTTCTTCATCTTTATTCTTTCCACTTAACTTTATATATATTCTTATACTCTGTTCTCTTAACATATCCTAATGTCTGTCATATTTGACAGGTTTAGGTTAAGGAACACATTTTAAATGAATTCACAGTGAAGAAATGCACCATGAAGTGTGTGTGTGGTGGTCAGGTGTGGCGGGATAGGCAGAAGCTTACTTATTAGCAAGAGGCCGGACTAAGAGCTCTGCTAAATAGAAGTAAATAGGTTTGAACATGTAGGTGGTTGAGGCATCGTAATTGCAAGGGCTCGCTGGTGCTCTGGATTTTACTGGGGGGTAGTAATGGGGTTAACAGGGGCTTCCCAGGTGGCTCAGTGGTCAAGAATCCACCTGCCAAGGCAGGAAACGCAGGGGAGGCAGGTTCAGTCCCTGGGTGGGGAAGATCCCCTGGAGGAGGAAATGGCAACCCTCTCCAGTATTCTTGCCTAGAGAATCCCATGGACAGAGGAGCCTGGCAACTTAGCATGCACAGTGGGGCTAATGGGGTTGCCTGAGGTGCTCCAGCATGACTTTTGAGGATGCTGCTGGTAGAGATTTCCTGTTGTGCAGAAAGGGCAAAGAATGGTATATTCAGCATTGTTGGTCGGCCTGAGAATTTTGATGAGGATGAGGGTCATCTTGGCAGCAGAGAAGCTGACTGAATCCTCAGGCAAGATGAAGTGAAGCACCTAGGGTGTTTGAAGACTGTAACTTTTAGAGTGTATACTGATTTTTGGTAAGCACATTACTGCAGGTAGGATCTATCCTCTGTCTGGTTAATAGGTTAGATTATAGCACTGTATTTTAAGAAGAGTTTTGAGAGAGTGCATATTCTGGATGAATACACTTCAATTAGTGTAACTCAACTGGATTTCAGAGTGGCAAAAATGTTAGCTCTGAAGATGTTTGCATCTGCTTTACAGATCCTCAGAATATTTGCTTTGTCATCTTACACAGCCCTCTGGCTTTACGACTGCCCAAGACATGTTTTACTAATGTACACTTTTGCATCCTTTTAAAAAGTGAAAGTCCAGTTTAACAGAACATCTGCTTCAGCCTTCAAGAAATTTCTCTTTGAAATGCAATCAGAAAGATGACCTCTGAATCTCATGAAAAACACCCTTTCATTCTTCAGATTTCTGGAAAGCTCTTTTTAAAGGAGCAGCGTGCTTTCTCTGAACTTTGCTTGCCTTAGGAGGTAAACATTAATGATGCAAAGCAAGAAACACTGTATACCTCTTCTTACAGGACTAAACACTTGAAGTGAATAAGTACTAAATATTATTTATTCCCTGTCCTTATTTTTCTTTATAAGATATGTGTAACACACCGACTTACTGTGACCTAGGAAAGGCTGCCAAAGATGTCTTCAACAAAGGATATGGTAAGTATGCTGTTGTAAACTGCCAGTGTGGGGTAAGCATTCATACTGAATGCCTAAGATATGGGCGCTACTGTGCTCAGTAAAATGAGGTTAAGTCAACATTAATCTATTTCACAAGATTTAAGGGGATAACTATTAGCAGGTTACTAGACTTCTTTTTTTAGAGGTGGAGTGCCACAAGCATTAAAAGCCATTGTGTACATAAACACATAATATTTGCATATTTAATATTATCTGTGGGGTGAAATAGTATAAATCTGTAATGTATGTGCCTCCTTTGGTTAGCTTTGGGGACAGTTAAAGCAAGGAGTGTGTTTTTCCTCCTCCAGATACTCACAATGTTTTCATGAGCATGAAACCCCAGCTTTTGACTTCTTTGGAGGAACATACAGTGTTTGAAACCAAGTAGACATTTAGTTTTGGTTTTAAAAATGTAGGCTTGAAATTTTTAAGTTTTTGTGCTGTACACATTTGATTTTTTATTAATTAATAGTATTATGTATTTTAAGCTTGTGTATATGTATAATTTCTGATAATTTTGGTTCTTAAAAGAATGCATTTTTCTTTCATCCATTGGTTTTTTTTTCACTTATATTTATGTCTTTATTATTTTGGCTTTAAAAATTACGCTTAATTTTTGTTAGCATTTTGTTGTAATTTTTGGTTACAATTCAGTTTTTGTTAGAATTTTGTTATAATTCAATTTCTTATGGAACTCTCACCTAACAGGAATACTGAATATTTTCCGTATGAAATGTACTACGGACTATTTTCATAATTTCTAAATTGTTAAGACTGGAGTGGATGTCACATTTTGTACATCACTTATTTTGTGTGTGTGTGTGTCTCTAGGATTTGGCATGGTCAAAATAGATCTGAGAACCAAGTCATGTAGTGGAGTGGTAAGTACTTAATATACTGTTAATAGATGTAGCATAATTAAAGGAACCTGTTTGAAAATCATTGTTTAGTCAAGTCACTTGAAACAGCATACCTTTGGTGCTACGCTATCTTCCCTAGAGCCTTGTCCTCCTCTCAGATTTCAGAGCCACTGAGCCAGTTGAGCCCAAGGACGATCAAGCTGAATTTGGGGGGAGATCTTTGTTTGTCATTATAAAAGTATTCTGAGTCTTACTCTCAGAAGATATAGAATACATGTGTATACGTATCTATATGTGTGTATATATATATATTTTATGCCGTATTTTTATACTTTTGTGAATATGTATGTGGACACTAAAATCTTTGCTTCCTTTTTATTGGGTTCATGCAAACTTTGTTGCCCTTTTACAAAAACTAACTTTAGTCTCTGTCCCATCATGATTAGTTGAAACAAATGTAGAAATACATGCAGTGGTTAGTCAGCTTTTATTAATGTTCATAAAGTCTTTTCCTGGAAGTTAAGAAATAAAGGATATATCACCATATATCACTAACCAGAGCTTTTATAAGTTTCAGCAAATAGATCAAGTTTACATTCACCTTATTCTCTGATTTCTCCATATTGGCTGCATTTTTTTTTTCTTTGGTATTTGTCTCTTCAAACCAGTGCAAATTTTATTTCTGGATATAATGATTTAATTAGAAGGGCAAGAAGTATGTGGAGTATTTATGATGCTCTGTCTGATACTTCATCTAATCCTGGTTTGTCACTATTCTTTCCCTGGATTTTCTAGTAGTAAATAAATATTTATGCAACTACCCTCCTAAGATGGGATTTTATTATGTAGTCTATTAAAACAGAAAAATCACACTCATTTTAATTAGTATTTCAGATTTGCTCAAGGTAGTTTTGTGTTGAGAAAACCAACAACTAAAATTTTGTCTCCCTTTCATGCTGCTGTTGTGTGTGAATATTCATTCAGATGGTAAGAAAAACAGTATATTTGTGTGCTTTGTTTTTATGGCTGTTTTTGTTCTTTAGTAGTGATTTAGGAAAAATTTCATCCCTTGCTCCAGATTGCCTAGATTGTATCTTGGTATTTTTATGATATGCCATTTATAACAGTAACATTTCCATGATTGTTTTGTTGCATACTAGCATCACAGCAGAACTGTAGATGTTATGTGCATGTTATAAATATATTTTGCACTGTTTGAGCTAATTATGAAATTAAACAAAAATTGAAGTAATTATGAACCTGAAACTCAACTTAGGAAAATTATAAGCTTGTGTTTGAGATCTGGAGCTCTGGTATTTTAGATTTTTGACAGAGCTTCAGATGAAGAAATAGTGATGATAAGAAAGAAATACAGACTAAATACTCTTCTACCTTAATTTTTTGCACCAAAATTAAGGTTTATATTTGCTATAATTGCAAGTTTATAAAAGGTAAATGTGAAAAATAAAACACTCGGTAGCTGGATCTACTAAAAGACAGTGATGTGAGTTGTTAAAACATGACTAGCATTTTGTCATGTTTTGCCAAGGCCTTGCCCTTAGTGTGCAGTTTGATAGTCTCTTTGAAAACTTGCTGTGCCATAGAGATTAACAGATCACAGTTTCCCAGTTGTGTCATCAGCCTATAGAGCGCGAGTTAGGGGGCAGGGCATTTGGTGGAGGAAGGATTCATATTGCAGGTGGTAAAACAAGTGCGGCAGAGTTGCTGGTGTTTCCTGACTGTTGGCAATATTTCAGAGATGGTCTTTGAAAACAGGGCCAATCAGAAGTGTGTCTTCCTTGACAGTTCCTAGATTGTCAGTGACAGGTGCTGACTGTTTGCTTCCCCCCTAGAACGAGATGTATTTCTAACTGCTTACTGTCATATGACTGGGGGACCTCTAACTAGGGAGGAGGATTTATTTTGAGCCATTCATAGTAACTATTTGACAGGGGAGAGGGAGGAAGAGGGATAAGTTACAACATTCCATTTTGTTGTGGAAAATGGATAGATAACTGTCAAATATTGAAATTGTTTATGCTGAAAATCTTAAAGATAGTTTTGTGGGCAAAAGCAATAAATTTTTCTTAACACTGTGAATGTACTTAATGCCAGTGTAACTGTACACATAAAAATGGTTAATTTATGTGAAGTGTATTTCACCGCAATGAAAATTTAAAAAAAGTTTTTAATGCAGTAAAGTTATGGCCCTATTAAAAGGAGGGAATCTAAAGCTTCCAGTGTTTGGGGATTTTTTAAAGACTTTAAAATTAACTAATAGTTCGAAAGGTCTGATAGAGAACTAAGTCTTTTTCATGTCATGAAGTAAATGTTTAAGATTTGATATTTTTGTCTTTAGGAAAGGCATTTTCAGTAAAGATATTTTTCTTTTAAAAGAGAGTTTGGGATTCCCATTTAGTAAGAGGGTATATGGAATAGAAATACCAGTAAGAGAGGTGGAGTAATGGGAAGTTTGCAAGACTGGTTACAATATCTAGAGATTAGAAGGAAAAAGGAGAGCAGGAAGTAAGTTGCTACAGAGTAGGGTTGTGGTAGAAAGTCAGTTGTATTGGTTTCTGCTGCATTGAATACTGTTTTCTGGAATGAATATTTTCTATTTGGTGAGCTGATTTTAATTATTTTTTCTTACCAGGAATTTTCTACTTCTGGTCATGCTTACACTGATACAGGGAAAGCATCAGGCAACCTAGAGACCAAATACAAGATTTGTAACTATGGGCTGACCTTCACCCAGAAGTGGAACACAGACAATACTCTTGGGACAGAAATCTCTTGGGAGAATAAGGTAAGAGAGCGTTGGAAGTTATTTGTAGGGTAAACTTAATCTTGGGGATAAGATGATAGACAAACTTTGTCATCAGTTTGTCCACAATATTACTTTTGTCTACAGTATATATTTTGTCCAAATATAATCTGAGCGAAGTCTTGTACACTGTCTAGGTGCCGTATTTTTTTTTCTGCACATGGTCTTCTTTGGTATGTTTTATGTTTCTAGAAAGTAAGATTTTGTTGGTGAGTACATAATTATGACATGTTTTGTTCTGACCAGTTCTACTTACTGTTACACAGTTGGGCCTCTCTTGAGCAGACCAAGCTATTTGTAGTGATTTAATTTTGTTTTTGTAATCGTTGCAAAATTGACTCCACAGAAAAATGTTTCTGAAAATTCTTTAATGTTTTTAAAGAGAAACTCTTTCATTAGATGCTTGTCAAGTGCCTGCTACATTCAGGGCACTATTTTTTGAGGTATGTCTGTATGCACATTTTCATATGTAGATAATGCATCTGTATAGCTGAATAAGTTACTTAGGTTGGTTTGTTAACTGTCCAGTTACCATAACAATTTCAAAAGAGCATCACAGTTATTTTGTCACACTGGGCTTTTGTTGTTTTGTACTCTTAATTTACATTATTGGCTATTATAGTTGGATCTGACCTGTATGTCTTAGCCTGCTTTTTTGTGAGAATCGTGATGAAGCCTGGGGTGAGGGGAGTGGGGTGGGGGCAGGGAAAAGGCAGAAGAGGCAGTTTATGAAATAATCTAATATTTGGCTTTCTTTAATGACTTCCTTGTTAGCGAAGAAGTCAGAGAAAACTTTAGAATTGGTTTCTCAAGTCAAGAAAAGAATTGAAAAATGCTAATTGTTAAATTTAAATCTTTATTTTTCAGTTGGCTGAAGGGTTGAAACTGACTCTTGATACCATATTTGTACCGAACACAGGGTAATTATCCCAACTCCGTTTTCTGAAATGGTCTTGTTTCTTGAAGGGATGGAGGGGGCTGCAGGAGGAGCTCCGAAGGGGAGGCAAGCCGAGACCTGTGTGTGCAGGAGATGGGAAGGAAGACCGCTGGAGGCAGGGGGCGGTTTTCATTTGAAATGTGGGCAGATGAACAAGGACTTGTAAATCTAATTCAAAGAGGCACACTGTGGGAAAAACGTAGGAGCGAGAAGGGTCTGAGACTAGATGTTTTTTAAGCTATTCTGAGGATTCTTGGATGTGAGGTCTTGCTGGGAAGTTAACATCTTTAGAAAAGCGTGTCGTCTCCTGGCAGCAGAACAGTGTAAAGAGCAGTTCTGCTTGCTTGCTTTCTTAGCCTTTGTAAATCCCCAACTTCTCTGACTCAGTGTTTTCATCTGTAAAGTGGGGATTCTGTTGTTTTCCTACCTGCCTGTCTCTAAAGGAGAGGCGCTCGATGGGGTGAGCTCCTCCTGAGCTGTGAAGCAGGCTTGCCCCTCCTGCCGCACGCCTGCATTGTCTTCCGGACGAGTGTCCTCATAAGAGGCCTGATCGGAATCGCCCTGGACTGTTAAGGGCTAGTTTTGTGTTCACAAAATTGTCCTTCAGAAATGTACACTTCCGTCCCACATTATCCAGGGAGACAACACTGACCTGAGGAAAATAAGCATGCTTACCAAAAAATTAAGTACATTTCTCTTTGTGACAGGTTAATAATCTAAAATTGTGTCGGGTGTTACCTTTTGTACCATTTGGAAACATTTAAAGAAATTTGGTTTCTTGTATATCTATATACATATGCATTCAAGTTATTCATTTGGTACTGAAAATCTTGTACCTTTTTATACTTTTCGTATGCTTTTGTGAAATTAATCATGAAATACCCTATCATCTGAACTTAACAGTAGAGAATAGGTAAAAAAAATAGTATATTTACTTCAAATCCTAGCAAAATTACATTTTAGAGCTAAGTCATTTGAAACATTGTTAGTCTGTTTGTGCCTTCTACCAAAATAATATTTACATTGGGGGAGAAATGGGATCTTACTCTCAAGATTCCTAGACGGCAGTAAAAGCTCATGTTGTTTTCATTGTGTTGTTTTTGTTTGTTTTACAGAAAGAAGAGTGGGAAATTGAAGGCCTCATATAAACGGGATTGTTTCAGTCTTGGCAGCAATGTTGATATAGATTTTTCAGGACCAACCATCTATGGCTGGGCTGTGTTGGCCTTTGAAGGTTGGCTTGCTGGCTATCAGATGAGTTTTGACACAGCCAAATCCAAACTGTCACAGAATAATTTCGCCCTGGGTTACAAGGCTGCAGACTTCCAGCTGCACACTCATGTGTGAGTGTTCCAAGTTCAGAGTTCCTCCCTTCGTGCCGGTGCAGCCGCCCAGAAGGAGGGTGGCCGTTAGCATGTTGCACAGGCTGGAAGGGGGTGGTGCTTGCATGTGATGATGCCGTGGTGGACACAGCCTTGCTGTGCGGTCCTGGAGGTCAGCAGGCACCGCGGGCCTTGCTGCCCTTGGCGCTGGTGCTCGCTGGCCTGCGAGCCTGGGATGGAGAGAGCGAGGCAAGGATTCCCTTTGGTGGGAGGGGGCCTGTGGAGAGGTGTCGCTGCTTCCTCTGGTTCCCTGCTCATCTTGGCAGTTTCCGGAAGCAGGTCTGTTTGCATCAGGAGTAACCCCCTGATGGATCAGAGTCCTGGAGCAGCGCCGGTGTAGTTCTGTGGAGGTGTTCGGGTACCTGGGTGTGACCCCAGGTACCTGTGTTGTATTCAGAAGTAGCAGGGTCCCCAGAGCAGGCCTGGGTTCAAGTCTGTAGGCTGCAGCCTGTTGGTTACATGCATTTGAACTTTAAACTGTTATTTCATGTCTTGGCCTCCTGGGCACTACCAGTGTCCCACAAAGAGAAGGATTAGCCCTGTGTTTTTGAAGTGTTGCAGATTGCCGTCCGCTAGACACTGTAATCCACTTATGATGACTAGAGTCTCTGGTGGTGTGGACAGAGGCATTGAAGTTGGTGGAACAGTATTATCAGGAGAGCCATCGGAGCTCGGGCTGACCCCTGAGATGCTCTGAAACTCCTTGGGTCAAGCCCGGTAGCCGTTGCACGGAAGGTGCTTTCTTCTGCTCAGGTTGTGTCTGAATGAAATCCAGAATTGGCTTGTACTAGTGTATATGTTTTTTCACAGAATCTTTGTGGAACTCTATTTTGAAGTTTCTAAGTTCTATGAACAACTGAGAGACATCCAGATTATATCTACTTGGTATCTGCCTTTGTGCCTAGTCAAATGCTGTTTAAGAAATTTATATCATGTGGGGGAGCCAAGTAAATGAATCAGATGTTACTGTGCTTTAAGTTAGGTGGTTATAAACTATATAACTTTTATTTGACAGTCATTTATGCTAGAAGTTTACTGAAATCTGTAGTTATAAAATAAGACCCTGATTTAGATAGCCTTGGAGTTTGTTTCCATATTGTAACAAACTAGACACTTAATGAGTTTTTCTTGTGCCGTGAAAACAGGAATGATGGCACTGAGTTTGGAGGGTCAATCTACCAGAAGGTGAATGAGAAGATTGAAACGTCGATAAACCTCGCGTGGACAGCTGGCAGTAACA